AATGTTAAAAAAAAAAAAAAAAAGGAGACCTACATGAATGAAGACGAAGAGAACGCTATGGATTTTCAGCGCCTGTGGTGGCAGAGAGACAATGCATGTAGGTTTGGAAACAAAGAAGAAATAGGAAATGGAATTTTTCACTGTACAGAAAATGTATCTCATGGGGAGGGTCTGTGTACGCCCGTTTTCTGGTTATAAACAGATAAACCTGATCCTGAATCTTCCTTGGAATACCCCCATTCTCTTTGCCTTTTAGCATCTTTTTGTTTAAGAAGAACCTCCTAGAATCTCTGAGAGCCCGTCTGGCCATGATGTAATACCACCTGTGTCACCCGGGGCGTCCTGTGAATGTGTGTGGGTGTGACAATGAGATGAACTGTCGAGGGGTGGCAGGGGGTTTAAAATTTGATCCTGGACTAATTACCTGCTTGGTTCGGATTTCTCAGGGGATTACGGGGCTTCCCGGCTTTTGCGGATTCGCAGTATTTTCTAAACAGAATGGGAGTGTTATAATCTTGGTGCTCATCCTCCCTGGCTTCTCTGACTTCATCTCCGTCTTCGCTTCATTCTCTTTAATTCTACTTTTTTCCCCCTTCATTTTTTTTCCCCCCATTTTTAAATAAGACGTGGCAGAATAGGTCTGGGATTTATTAGAGCGGCATCTGAACTGTCACCACTCCCGCTGAGTTTCACAGTGACCAGTGGGACAAAGCCGTAGGCTCGCCGCCTGGCTGCTCCCTCCACTTGGAGCAGTTGGGCTGCAGCTGCTAATCCCATTCTGCCTGCGAACTGTGTAAACTCCGAGAGGCGGAAGGCCCACGGTCAGTGGGACAGCTTGTGTCAGGATCATGACCCTGGCTTTTCTCTCTCTCACATCGGCTCTTGCAGGGAGCTTGGTATTTCCTCCCCGTTGCCCTGTGGGGTATGACTTTCAGGACTGCACTCTAGGAGACAAATGACACTTGACATGGTGGCCTCCAGGACCTCCCCTGCACCTCGTGCCCTTTCTCGCGTCTGTGGCTCACAGCACATCGCCCACTCCACTCTCCCCGCCCTCACACTTCTCTGGTCACCATTGATGAGCACGCAGATTCCTGTGGCTGTCAGCGCATGTGTGTTAAGTTTGTCTCTGTCGTGAACTTGCTTTGTAACCTAACAGGTCAGTATATATACGGTTTGGTCTGATTTTTCATTGTTAAGTTTGGGGCAAGTTATCCAAAGCAAGACGGGAAGGAATACCATGTTAAAGAGTCAGGAGGGAGTGAGGGGGTGGGTCCCGTGTCCCTGTGTGTGGCAGTTCCCATCCAGGTCCTCAGACAAGAGGTTCTCCTTCCAAATCTAGGAGGTGCTGGGTCAGAAAAGGAGCAGCTGGTCAGGTGTTCTTGCAGGGCCCTGATATCTTTCTCCCCTGGCTCAGCGGGATGCTGTTACTCTAGGTCCCCTGCTTCATGCTCGCTTCAGGAAAGAAAGGCAGGCCCTGGCTCCGAGACCACCCCAGGAAGCCTGGAGGCAACACTGTTCAGGAAACTTTGCTCAGACAGCTTATTTTAGGGCTGGTCTTCAGTATGTAACCTGGGTGGAGGTACAGCCTCCCCAAATTGAGGAGGTTGAGGATGACAGAAATGCAGGTTGGAAGGGAAGGAGGAAACCAGTGCTTTGCCCGGAGGGGCCTCCACTGTCCAGTGTGACAAACCAAGCTGCTCTGCGGGGAGCGCTGAGCTTTGTGGTTCATGCTCTCGCCTCCTTCAGCCCCCGGTTAAGCATCACTGAATATGGTGCAGCCTGGGAAGCCGGAGCGGCTCCAAGGGCGAGGAGCTCGCCAAAGGCCCTGGCGTGTGGGGAGAGGGCACCGAGGCCCCGTTAGTGAGGAAAGGGTTGCTTTGCATGGGGCAGAGGGTCCCCATTCCAGTCTCTGCTCTCGTCACTTTTTATGGGCGATGAGGTTCAGTATATGGCAACTGACTCTCTTAAGGACATTTTGATCCCCAATTAATGTTGGGGATGCACCAGGAAGGAAGGAAAGTATCTACAGATAGGAAGGCAAGTCGCCTCTGCCAGCCCCCACCCCCTCCCTTGTCTGGGCCACCTCAAACTTGGGCTGTCTCCCCTAGAAGTGGCTGAGAGTGAGAGCCACAGGCAGGTTTCCCCCAGACTTTGTCCCCATGCTCTAGCACCCCTCATTGGCACACTCGGCACCAGGCTGGCACACTGTCCTCCGTCCCGAGTTGCCAGGCGTGTTATTGTCAGAATGCAAGCATGGGCATCACCATGGTTCAGTCGCGCTGTGGGCTTTGTTGACCTTTTTTTTTCTTCTAACCTGCTAAGACTCTTCCATAAGAAAAGGGACCTATAGCTTTAAAATTTTTTATGGGCGCTCTCCTACCAAGCCAGGGCCCCTGACACCTCATCTTCGTAGCTTTCTCGAAGCCTTGCTTGTGTGTAGAAGGGGTTGCCTATCCTGAGCACCCACTCTGCATTCTAGGCAGTTTACAATATGTTATCTCATTTGATTTTCAGAAGAAATAATAGTAGTTCTGGTTTTTAGTGCTGACTCTATGCAAGCACTGTGGTAAGTACCTTTCAATGAGCCCTGAAGCCACCTGGGAGCAGGAGCAAGTTTATTCTCCTTATTTCACAGGCGGAAATGGACTCAGGGAGGTTGAGTCCCTTCCTAAAGCCTCGCAACCAGGAGAAGCCGGGATCTGAGCCAATGGTTTGGAGAGGAGCTGTGTCTTCGTCACAGGCTCTACTGCCTCTGACGTGGGGATAAGTATCTCTCGGTGCCACATGTCGGCCCGCTCTCCCCCATCTATGATGTGTATGTGAGAGCGCACACAGCTACCCCACTCTCAGGAGCTAAGCAATAGGACCAGGCCCAGAGCTCCTAGAATTGCCCATAGACACCAGGCGTAGACGGAAATCTTTGTGCTCCATTATAAGCATGGCTACAAAATCCATCTAGAAAACACTTGTGCATGTGCAGAGGCCTGGACTTCTCGGGAAACTCCCGGGAGTGTCTGATTATGTAACATGCAGGTACTGTCCGCGTGAAGGGCTTTGGCGCTGTGTGAGGACACGCCAGAGCAATTCTGCTTCCTCCTTCAATGTGTTGTGGCAGCTCCTGTGTGCTGCCCAGGTTGTTACGTGGACTAGGAGTCGTCCCCGGATTCCTGCAGCTCATTTCAGGGCAAGTGCATTTTCTTCTCTCAGTGTTTCTTGTGTTTCCCAGAGGTTGGTAGCTAATGACAGCACTGAGTTCAGCCTGTTCCAAGCAGGCACGTAGGACAGGGCTCTGGTTGGAGGCCAGAGAGCACGAAGCCTCCTCTCTTCAGTCCTGCAGGGGTCGCTCTTGGGGCTCATGTGTGAACTTGGCTGCACAGGGCTTGGGTTGGATATCCAGACAATTGCTCCAGATGAGGTGTGAACATGAACAGCTCGGTGGTTCTGTTGCTCAGGGAAGAGACCAGGATGCCCCTGCAGAGAAGCCCATCTGTCCTATTGGTTCTCCCTGGGCCTTGCCCTCAGCCACCTGTATCCTCATGGTGCAGTGGTCAAAGTGCCGATGGGCTGAGGAGTTCTCCCCGGGCAGCAGCCTTCTGAGCCCTGGAGACTGATGTGAACACAGGTGTCAGGTGAGGCAGGGCTCCCAGGAGGAGTGAAGAATAGATTGGGGTTTAAAAGATTTCTCATGCATATGCCTCAGGGAGCTCTGCTGGGCCAAGAGGTGTGTTTTCCAAAACCAAAGTCCTGCTCCACATCAGCACTGGCGCTGGTGGAGCGTGTTTCTGTGCACTAGGATGACCTCGCACTGCTGAGCAAAGGTACCACTGTCAAGGTCAGTGGGAGCCTGCGCATGTTCTTAAAGGGTAAAGGCTTTAAGTAGCCAGAGAGCATCTGGCCCACAGCTGGCTCCTTCACATCCCCAAACCCGAGGCAGCCATGGCCTGTGCTTTATAAATGTTGGTCTCCTTTTCTCTCTTCTGGTTGATTCATCAGTGTGCCTAAATTGTCTTCATTCAGCGTGAGGAGCGTTTCATGGGTTTGCCTCTGATGTGTGGCTCCACGGGAGAGGGGCGGAGTGATTAAGACGTTACCGGAAGCTGATCAGCTGGGAGCATGTGAAGGTCGGCACTTCACTAAAAGGATTTCTTCTGGAACAAATGAGCAGTTTTTTTCTCCTCTAAGTAGAAAACCTTCTTCTTTAGTAATTTAATGGTATATAAAGACCTGTATATGTGGGTGCACACACGTGAGGTATGACTGTAAGGTTGTGTGTCGAGTTTCTTTTCTAAAATCCAGAGGATCCAAGTGTTTCATCTCACCTTGCCTTCCTTAGAAGGTG